AGATTGCACCACTGCACTCCAGCCTGGCGACAGACCAAGACTCTGTCTCAAAAAAAAAAATAAAAAAGAATACAGCATAAAACAGGGAGAGGCGAGTGTAAAAAATAAAAAATAATACAGTATAAGGTTGGGCACGGTGTAATCTCAGCCCATAATCCCAGCACAGCACTTTGGGAAGCCAAGGTGGGCAGATCACTTGAGGCCAGTTGTTGGAGACCACCCTGGGAAACATTGCAAAATCCCATCTCTACTAAAAATACAAAAATTAGGCTGGGTACAGTGGCTCATGCCTGTAATCCCAGCACTTTGGGAGGTTGAGGTGGGCGGATCACGAGGTCAGGAGTTCAAGATCAGCCTAGCCAAACATAGTGAAAACCCCGTCTCTACTAAAAATACAAAAATTATCTGGGCGTGGTCGCACGTGCCTGTAGTCCCAGCTACTCAGGAGGCTGAGGCAGGAGAATTGCTTGAACCCAAAAGGGGGAGGTTGCAGTGAGTCGAGACCATGCAATTGTACTCCAGGCTGGATGACAGAGACTTCATCTCAAAATAAACTAAAAATACAAAAATTAGGTGTGGTGGTGCATGCCTGTAGTCCCAGCTACTCCAAAGGCTGAGGTGGGAGGATCACCTGAGCCCAGGAGATAGAGGCTGCAGTGACTGATCACACCAATGCACTCCAGGGTGACACAATGAGACTCTGTCTCATAAATGAATAAACAACTACAAAAAAACGGAATTCCTACACACCACACACAACAGGCAGATACTGTGATTCCACTTATGTAAGGCACCTAAGTAGTCAAATTCATAGATACAGAAAGGATGGTGGGAGCTGAGAGGTAGAAAGAATGGAGAGTTATTGTTGAATGGGTACAGGGTTTCAGTTTGGGAAAATGAAGTTCTGGAGATGGATAGTGGTTATGGTTGTACAACAATGTGAACACTGAATCATACACACAAAAATAGTTAAAATGGTCAATTTTATGCTACATATATTTTAACACACACACACACACACACACACACACACACACACAGATAGATAGATAGGGAATTTCCAGTGCGGACAACCAGGCTGCACTTTCTTCAAAAATCTCCAAAATGCAACAGTTCTATCCCCAGTCAATTAAATTCTGTTTTCAACAGAACACAAACTAAAGGTCTTTCACAGTTTCACATACATGAATATCCTGCTGGGTAAAAAGTGTCACAGAGTACTGTCACAATGCAAGGGCTATGTGCTCAGTGCATGCCGTTCAGCCATATGCCTCATGTTCTTATTTTAATACAAACACTGAAAGATAGGTATTTTCACCATGTTACAGATGAAAAAATAAGGCTCAGAAGGGCAACTGCCCCAGGGCATATTACTGTGGGGAATCGTTGACTGGAACCAGATCTCTGCTGCTCCAGAATCCATGTGTTTTGTTTTGTTTTTTATTAGCAACTGCATCTGCATAGAATCCATGTTTTTATCAAATACCATCCTGCTTGTTTGGAAAACATAAAGAAAGCAGCCCAAGCAAGGGCAGGTAGGAAAAGCTACGCAAAGAGCCTGGAGGCTTTTGAGGGGACTTAGAGATCTGGAAGGCTGCCTGAGGCAAGGTCTGAATAAGGCCAAGAGACAGAGCCCAACCAGCGTAAAGGCCCGGAAGTAAAAGGGCCAGATATGGCACGGCGGTCCTGGGTGAACTGATGTCTAGGGTGCCAGTGAACCCCCACCCAAAGTCGTCTCAAGCCACCCAAAACCAAGACTTTGTTCACACCAGAGGCCCGCATGCCCCCTTACCCCAGCGCAGGGCGTCCAGACCCGCGCAGGAAATTCTGGCGTTCAGACCCCAGGCCTCAGTCGCTCAGATCTCTAGGGCTGTCTGGATTGGGTGAATCAGGTCCCAAGGCTTCTATGTGGTATTTTGGGGCCGGGCCAGAGTAGGAGACCCAAAACGTTAGGCACCCCAGCCCCAGCTCACTCACCGCAACAGCTGCCCAGCAAACGCTTGGCTCAGCTCTGTCGCCCGCAGTTCAGAGGAAATCAAGAGGGGCGGAGTCTCCGAGTGACGGAGCCCAGGAGTCCTCCAACTACCTTCCTACCCGACGATATTCTGTGCGTCGATTGGTCGAGAGGAGCTCGGCGGGTGAAGAAACGCGGAGCCGCGAGCGGTGGGCGGGGCTCTGGTTGCCGGGAAACGGATTGCCCCTCCCGAAGGCCGAGTTGATTCCTTGTAGATCCAAGGTTCCAGCCCCTGCTTGGATAGGGAAGCCCAATTTCAAGATTTTTGACTTCGTGGTCTCCGGAGCCAATTCACCTTCTTCACAATTATCTCCGCCTGTGTTTGTCGTCCAAAAATTTCACCCCTTCGTTCCCCTAATTAGAGCACTTCCGTGGCTTCTTTCCTTATTCTGAGGAGACCCATGTCTCATTTATCAAGTTATGAAGCTTTTCTTCATTTAGTCAATAGATAGCAAACTCCTGCTGTGTTCTAAGCATCGTGTCAAGCTTGAATTCAAGACATATATGATGTGGTATACGACCCGGATATCCTTACAGCTTAGTTGTTTAGAACGGGGGTCCGCCATGGAGGCATAAAAGTTTACAAATAACGGTAAAGAGCTATAGACGGCTGGGCGCAGTGACTCACGCCTGTAATCCCAGTACTCTGGGAGGGCGAAGCGGGTAGATCACCTGAGGTCAGGAGTTCGAGATCAGCCCGGCCAACAGGGTGAAACCCCATCTCTACTAAAAATACAAAAATTAGCTGGGCGTGGTGGTGCATGCCTGTAATCCCTGCTACTCATGAGACTGAGGCAGGAGAATCGCTTGAATACAGGAGGTGGAGTTGCACCACCGCCCCCGGCCTGTAATCCTAACACTTTGGGGGCCTTATGTGATCCCATTTAGAGACCACCCTAGGCAATGTGGCAAAATCTCGTCTGTACTAAAAATACAAAAAAATTTAGCTGGTCACGGTGTTTCATGCCTGTAATCTCGGCTACTAGGGAGGCTGAGGTGGGAGGATCACCTGATTTGAGAAGTTGAGGCTGCAGTGAGCCAAGATCATGCCACTGCACTCCATCCTGGATGATGGGAATGAGATCTTGTGTCAGATTTTTTTTTAATGTTAATTAATTTAAATTTCATTAGCCACATGTAGCAGTTGTACGGCACATAGCTAATGGTGACCGTATTGTGTTTTGTTTGTTTTGTTTTGAGATGGAGTCTTGCTCTGTCACACAGGCTGGAGTACAGTGGTGCAATCTCGGCTCACTGGAACTCCGCCTCCTGGCTTCAGGCGATTCTCCTGCCTCAGCCTCTTGAGTAGCTGGGACTACAAGCGCATGCCACCATGTGTAGGGCTGAGGGCCCCATAGCGTCGTGGGATGTCCCTTATGCTGTGCTGAGGCACAGGATCTGAGAAATAAAGAGACAGGACACAGAAGTACAAGGAAAACTCAGATGGGCTCAGGGGGCCCACGCCACCTATAAGCAAAGTTAAGTGAGGCCCTGAATGTCTAGAAGCGTCAGTATTTATTGTGTATAGGTTAGGGAGCAGGGCAGTGAGTGAAGTTATCTTTAAGGATAGTGCTAGGGTCGTGAGCAATAAAACAAGGGGTCCATTCCCATTAGGTCACTTAGGCTAGGAGGTGGACATTTCGCAGCAGGGGGTTCATTCCCATTAGGTTAGCAAGGCAAGGAAGTGGGCCGTGTGCAGTAAGGGGTCCACTCCCATTAGGTCACCGAGGCATAGAGGTGGGCTGTGTGCAGTGAAGAAGGTGCAGTGTGCAGTGCCTCTATCTATTGGCAAGCTACTTTAAAAAAAATTTATAGGAGAATGCTTTAAGTCACACAGCAGTAACAAAGCTGTCAGAGTTACTGCCACCTGCTGGCAGATTCTAATGAGTTATATAGGAAAATGCTTTTCAAGCAGCACAGTAACAAGAGCTAATAAAGTTCACAGTCACCAAGGTGCAATTATCCAGAAGTGGTTTTTTTTTTTTTTTTTTTTTTTTTTTTTTTTTTTTTTTTTTTTGAGACGGAGTTTCGCTCTTGTTACTCAGGCTGGAGTGCAATGGCGCGATCTCGGCTCACCGCAACCTCCGTCTCCCGGGTTCAGGCAATTCTCCTGCCCCAGCCTCCTGAGTCGCTGGGATTACAGGCACACGCCACCATGCCCAGCTAATTTTTTGTATTTTTAATAGAGACGGGGTTTCACCATGTTGACCAGGATGGTCTCGATCTCTTGACCTCGTGATCCACCCGCCTCGGCCTCCCACAGTGCTGGGATTACAGGCTTGAGCCACCGCGCCCGGCCTCCAGAAGTGTTTTAAGCCCTCAGATGCTCGAAGCATTGCGAGTTTCAGGGCAGCTGTCCACAAAAACTAGAGCAAGGTCCTACAACTCCTTTATCAGGAGAAGTGGCTCTTGCCCCAAGCTTGCCATACAATGGGTATCTATACGATACTGAATGCTGCCTCCTGGGCCATAGCTTCTTGTCCTGGTATAACTGTTTTTCCCTTAAATCATGCTTTGCACTGTGTCTGCTCCAGACATTCCTCCAACTATATTAAGTAGTTCACAGAACCTCAAGGTGGGTGGAGAGTCAGGCTTTAGGTCTATACAGCCAGGAAGAGTATCTAAACCTCACTGAGAGACTGCACAGGGAACATCCTATGGCCACTGAACATAAATAGCTGGCACCATTTGTTGTGGGCACTGGACATGAGAACCTCCCTTACTGTTGGCCTCCCAGATTAGATGCCTCCAATGCTGCCTTGTTAGACATAGATTTCACACTGGGCCGTCTTCCTCGGCTGTGTGCCTCTGAACCAAAGTCTCTGCCTGAGAGATGGAGCCTAGATCGGATGCCTGTCCAAGCTCCAGCAGAGTGTGGGAAGGCTCTAGCTTCCACCTCTAGGGGGCAGTAACGTAATGTGAGAAATTCCCCCCCCAAAAGAAGGGTGTTCAGAAGATGCTGTTTATAGAATATGACAAATGTGCTCTCTGGGCTCGGACCGGCAACATGGCCAAACGTACCAAGAAGGTTGGGATCGTCGGTAAATACGGGACCCGCTATGGGGCCTCCCTCCGGAAAATGGTGAAGAAAATTGAAATCAGCCAGCATGCCAAGTACACTTGCTCTTTCTGTGGCAAAACCAAGATGAAGAGACGAGCTGTGGGCATCTGGCACTGTGGTTCCTGCATGAAGACAGTGGCTGGCGGTGCCTGGACGTACAATACCACTTCCGCTGTCACAGTAAAGTCCGCCATCAGAAGACTGAAGGAATTGAAAGACCAGTAGACGCTCCTCTACTCTTTGAGACATCACTGGCCTATAATAAATGGGTTAATTTATGTAATTAAAAAAAAATATGACAAATGTCTATTCTACATGGTCTATGCCAGTGCTTCTCAAACTTTAACATGCAGAAAAATCACCTGGGGACCATGTTAAAGTGCAAATTCTCATTTAGCAGGTCAGAAGGGGAGGGGGAACAAGATTCTGCTGTTTTCTGTCTTCACAGTTTTGCCAGGCACTATTCAAAGTATTTTACTCATTTAATTATCCCGCCCCAATGCTATGGAGCAGAGAAGCTAGCTAAGAATAAATAATTTTCTTTTGGATAAGGTTCTACTCTCACTGTAAATATCTCACTGTAATAAGATGACAGAGTTGAGGGATGATGTCTCTCCTGTGAAGTAATTTGGTTCTAATATACCCCACAATCAATGGAAAATTCTACCTCTTATTTCTGGAGGGAGTCAGGAATCAGGCTTTTCAGCATATGGAGTTCTACAGCTGTGAATATATCAGCTGCAGCCCCTCAGTTAGTTTAGTGAGACTGACAACTTGAAGAAGAAATTTAGCTAAAAAAGATGTTCCTTTTTCCTCTCCAGAATACAAATGCATAGGATAAGAATTAGACTGTGTCCAGTTTTTTTGTTTTTGTTTTTTCAAACTAACATTGAAATGCCTCCTTATTTGGAGGAATCTCACTCTGGATACTAAAGGGGGTTAGAGTCTTGGCCGGGTACTGTGGCTCATGCCTGTAATCCCAGCACTAATAATACAAAAATTAGCTGGGCGTGGTGGCAAGCGCCTGTAGTCCCAGCTACTTGGGAGGCTGAGACAGAAGAATCGCTTGAACCCAGGAGGCAGAGGTTGCAGTGAGCCAAGATCAAGCCACTGCACTCCAGCCTGGGCAAGAGCAAGACTCCGTCTCAAAAAAAAGGAGGAGTTAAATTCTTCCCCAGGCACCTGGAAGTGAGGGCTCAGACCAATGAGGTTTGCCTGATGGAAGTCCTCCCCTGCAGGACTCTGAACTTTGGGAGAGGGACAGAGAGACACAAGGAGATTTATGGGCCTCCAAGGGGTGGCAGGGCTGCAGGAAAATGGGTCCTTTGGAACAACATAGTGTGTGGTGTCTACAGCACCCCAACTGGGTTTCTTCCCTGACATTCCTGAAGCCAGGCTTTCAAAAGTCTTGGTTTTCCTTGATTTGGCCCTTTTCTGAGACTATTCTCCACCTGTCTTGTGAATTCGATGAGGCACTAATATTCTTTCCATAATTCCCTCTCTGATGAAGTTAGCCAGAATTGGTTTATTTTGCAATTAAGAGCCTCGCAATATATCCTCTAATGGGAGGCGAATGGGGATCTCTAATCCTCATGCTGTTAGGGGAAACACAGATGTGAACACATTGCTTCTGGGGTGCTTGTGTGTGTGCTGTAAATACATATATAACAATCTTGTTGAGATATGTCACATACTATAATATTGACCCTTTTAAAGTATACAATACAGTGGGTTTTAGTATATTCGCAGAATTTAGCAATCTTTATTCTGGTTGTTAGTTTTTGTTTTGTTTTAAATAAAGCTCCTTTCAAGCGTTTCTCCAGACCGAAGGGACTACGTAATCGGAATCTACACTACCAACTGCTGCCATGGTCTTTACACGGAGCAATTCCAAGGGTTTCCTTTATAAATAACGTCGTATCTCCTAATAGGAAGACATCTGCATAAGGTCACTTTTGGTAAGACATTTACAGTCTTAACGCCGCTCACTCAATTCACCTAATTCAACTCGAGTAACACTTATTCGCTCACTCAACGCTGACCCCGCCTCGGGACTGGACCTCTCTGATTTGCTGGGGCCGAGTGACGTCCTCAGATCGCGACCCCGGAGTGGGGGTAGCGTGGTTATGTGGCTGAGCCGCAGCGGATGGCCCGGGCTTCTGGGACTGTGTCACTACCACCTCCAGCGCCCTAGCTTTGCCAGGACTTGGAGTGGCTATAAGGGCCCAATGGCAGAAACACTGTCTACCCAGGTTGGGACAACGGGCGGGCTAAAGGCTCTGCATCAGCAAAATGGTGACGCTGGTGGCGACGCGATGGTTGGGCCTCCCCCGGAGCCCCTGAAGCCGGCGGGCCAGGAAGTGGAGCCGGCCCCAGTTGGCGGGGAGCATGCCTCGACTGCAGCCCAGGGCCCGGGCAAGCGTAAGAAGCGCCGCGGCGCAACCGGGGAGCGTGTCGTGCCACCCCCGAAGAAGCGGCGGACCGGGGTGAGCTTCGGCGATGAGCACTTTGCAGAAACCAGTTATTACTTCGAGGGCGGCCTGCGTAAGGTGCAGCCCTATTACTTTGATTTCCGGACCTACTGCAAAGGCCGCTGGGTGGGCCACAGCTTGCTGCACGTCTTCAGCACCGAGTTCCGAGCTCAGCCCCTGGCCTACTACGAGGCCGCGATCCGGGCGGGCCGCCTGCATCTCAACGAGGAGCCGGTGCAGGACCTCAACATCGTGCTCAAGGTGGAGTCCTGTTGGGGCTGGCCAGAAGCTGGCGAGGAAAGGGGGTGGTTTTTTGTGTTTGTTTTTGTTTTGACTTAGTAAATCATAGGTACTGGATTAAAATCATGGCAACTCTAAAGCTTTCGCGCTTTCATTTGGAACACTTTTAGCCCCCGTTTTCCACCCTCGAAAGTGGACAGAGTCTCTGTGCTTCAGAACTCAGCCTGTTTATCCTCTTCTTCAGGGCAGCTTCCTTGCTACCAAAGGACAGAAGTTGGAATTGTCATAATTCCTTTAAACACTGTCTTGTGGCAAGGGCACTGATCGCTTTATCCTGCATTGTAGATCTCTGTGCAAATAGTAATAATAGGGGCTATCATTTATGTCTCTTTACTGTGTGCTGGGCACAAAGTTAACCATTTTATGTCCATTAACGTTTAATTCTAATGACAACCTTGTGAAGTAGGTATTGCCACTCCATTTTACCTATGAGGAAACTAAGGAAACTCAAGGAGTAAGGCCAAACAGTGCCACTACCAAAGCCCGTGCTCCTTATAACTAAAACTGTTTAACGTAGAGCCTGATACGTTAATAGAGTTGGGAGATGTCAGGGATAAAGACTAGAATTGTTTAGCCCAGTGCTTTGCCTCCGTTCAAATTCCATCACAGGTATGAGATACCAGACACCCCTGTCAGAAGTTATACTGTTTACCTGTGAGTAACAGTGGTTTACCATGTTGTGAGTGGAGGAAAGCATTTGGGGCATGGATGGTTTTAGAGTAACTTGTCCCATTGATCAAGCAGTTTGAGTCAATATATAACAGATTTACTTTGACGAATTCCCTCTCCTATCCCAATTCTAAAAGCACAGTTCTGGTCTAACCCTCACATTCCACAGGAAATGGAGACCCAGAGAAGATAAACGACTTGCCCACGAGCATGTAGTGAGCCTGTGCCAAATCCTGGTCTAGAGCCCACATCCCTGGACTTAAACCTTAGTTTTGTTTGTTCAAGATAGTGATAAATGATGATTTATGGAGGTTTTCCTCCATTAAAAAAGTTTTACCTTGCCAGGCGTGGTGGCTCATGCCTGTAATCCCAGCACTTTGAGAGGCCGTAGTGGGTGGACCACGAGTTCAAGAGATCGAGACCATCCTGGCCAACATGGTGAAACCCCGTCTCTACTAAAAAATACAAAATTTGGCTGAGTGTGGTGGCACACGCCTGTAGTCCCAGCTACTTGGGAGGCTGAGGCAGGAGCATTGCTTGAACCCGGGAGGCAGAGGTTGCAGTGAGCGGAGCTTGCGCTACTGCAGTCCAGCAGGGCGACAGAGCGAGACTCTGTCTCAAAAAAAAGTTTTACCTTTAAAATACCTTTATTGTAGGGAAAATACAATCAGCAAAACCAAAAAACATTCATAATCTCACCATCAGATATCACAGTTAACATTTTTGTGTATGTTCTTCCAGTAACTTCAATGCCAGCTATATGCCTGTCTGTCTGTCTGTTTATAAATTGAGGTCACACTGTGCACACTGCTCTTTCTGCCTAAGGATGTGCTGTCACGATTTTTCCATGTCAGTAGGGAACAGGGGAAGCTGGGTATGGAGTTGACTGGTTACAGGCTGCTGGTCCCTGGGCCAACCTGTTATCTTTGTCTTTGACAGGACAATGATTTCTTGCGGAACACAGTGCACAGGCATGAGCCACCAGTCACAGCAGAGCCCATTCGCCTGCTAGCTGAGAATGAAGATGTGGTGGTTGTAGACAAGCCTTCCTCCATTCCTGTCCACCCGTGTGGCCGCTTCCGACACAACACAGTTATATTCATCCTAGGCAAGGAGCACCAACTCAAGGAGCTACACCCATTGCATCGGCTTGACCGCCTTACCTCAGGGGTACTTATGTTTGCGAAGACAGCTGCAGTCTCTGAGAGAATTCACGAGCAGGTTCGGGACCGGCAGGTGAGTCAGACTTTTGTCTCCTACAGGCCTTTTCTTGGGCTCTCGAATGCTCTGTTTCAAAAGGGTATCATGGAGTTCTGAAGTGGGCCTTTATATTTGACCTTCCTTCTTACCTTAAGGCAGGTCAACACCTAAAGTGCCAAATGCAGGATATCTCATAATGTTTCCAAACAATCTTTAGAGATGACTTACACTGTCTCTCTTAGTAGTTTGCTGTTTTGAAGTTTTAATATGCTGACAAAGCCAGGCACGGTGGCTCACACCTGTAATCCCAGCGTTTGGGGAGGCTGAGACAGGAGGGTGACTTGAGCCCAGGAGGTTGAGACCAGCCTGGGCAACATAGGGAGACACTGTCTCTACAAAAAAACAAAACTTAGCCTGGCATGGTGGCACATGCCTGTGGTTTCTGCTACTTGGGAGACTGGGTAGGAGGATCTCTTAGGCCTGGGAGGTTGAGGCTGCAGTGAGCCATGATCGTGTCACTGATGTCCAGCCTGAGCTATAGAGCAAGAACTTGGTCTCAAAAAAATAAAATAACATAAGAAAATAAAAGGCTGACAGGCTGAGCAAGGCTTTTAAGATTGTTGGGAGAGCCTGCTTGGTGGAAAGATTCTAGATGTAGTTGGAAAAGGCTTGATACAGGAGTTTAATGGTAATAATTGTTGTCTTGAGACTTGTAATTCTGGATCTGAATCGTAATACATTTATTGAGTGCATACTGTATACCAGGTTTAGTACCATGCACACTAAAGCCTAACTTACTAAATGCTTATCACAGCCCAATGAGGTAAATGCTTTTCTTTTTCTTTTTTGAGATAGAGTTTCACTTTTGTTGCCCAGGCTGGAGTGCAGTGGTGCAGTCTCAGCTCACCGCAACTTCCGCCTCCCGGGTTCAAGCGATTCTCCTGCCTCAGCTTTCCTAGTAGCTGGGATTATAGGCATGAGCCACTATGCCTGGCTAATTTTGTATTTTTTAGTAGAGATGGGGTTTTTCCATGTTGATCAGTCTGGTCTGGAACTCCCAACTTGAGGTGATCCACCCACCTCGATCTCCCAAAGTGCTGGGATTACAGGCGTGGGCCACTGCACCCAGCCAGTAAATGCTCTTCTAATTTCACATTTTCTTTTTATTTTTTTTATTTTTTTATTTTTATTTTTTTGAGACGGAGTTTCGCTCTTGTTACCCAGGCTGGAGTGCAGTGGCGCGATCTCGGCTCACCGCAACCTCCGCCTCCTGGGTTCAGGCAATTCTCCTGCCTCAGCCTCCTGAGTAGCTGGGATTACAGGCACGTGCCACCATGCCCAGCTAATTTTTTGTATTTTTAGTAGAGACGGGGTTTCACCACGTTGACCAGGATGGTCTCGATCTCTTGACCTCGTGATCCACCCGCCTCGGCCTCCCAAAGTGCTGGGATTACAGGCTTGAGCCACCGCGCCCGGCTAATTTCACATTTTCTAGATGAGTTAGTAGGATTTAGAGGTTAAGTAATGAAACCAAGATCACAAAACTGACAAATGGTAGAGCTGGAATTGGAATCTTCTGTCTGACAATGGTCCTCATCACCCCACAGAGGGTTTGGACTCCATGAATTTAGGCTTTGTACTGACTTTCTTCCTCTTTCCTCCTATGTAGCTGGAGAAGGAGTATGTGTGCCGGGTGGAAGGGGAGTTCCCTACCGAGGAAGTGACCTGTAAAGAACCCATCTTAGTGGTGTCTTACAAAGTAGGGGTGTGCCGTGTAGATCCCCAGGGCAAGCCCTGTGAGACAGTGTTCCAGAGACTAAGCTACAATGGCCACTCCAGTGTGGTACAGTGCCGGCCACTCACGGGCCGCACGCACCAGATTCGAGTCCACCTTCAGTTCTTGGGCCATCCCATTCTCAATGACCCCATCTATAACTCAACTGCCTGGGGTCCCTCCCGAGGCCGGGGTGGTCACATTCCCAAGACAGATGAGGAATTGCTACGGGACCTGGTAGCAGAGCACCAGGCCAAACAGAGCCTGGATGTGTTAGATCTCTGTGAGGGTGACCTGTCCGCAGGACTCACAGACTCTGCAGCCCCCTCCTCAGAGTTGGGCAAGGACAACCTGGAAGAGTTGGCTGCCGCTGCCCAGAAGATGGAGGAAGTAGTTGAGGCAGTGCCTCAGGATTTGGACACAATAGCGTTGGCACCAGAGAAGGCAATTGAAACAGACGTCATGAATCAAGAGACAGACCCACTCTGTGCAGAGTGCCGGCTGGTACGACAGGATCCCTTGCCCCAAGACCTTGTGATGTTCCTACACGCCCTACGCTATAAAGGGCCAGGCTTTGAGTACTTTTCGCCAATGCCTGCCTGGGCACAGGATGACTGGCAAGAAGACTGAGGGCTGTGGACATTGGAGGGATTGCTTCTTGGGTTGTGACAAGGATGGGCCATAGGGGCAAGGGCTCACCCCATGGGCTGGCACTTGGGGTTTCTACGAGTGACCTGCTCCTACTTGCTACCTCCTTCCAACGGGAATTTGGAGACTTTTTGGTTTGTAAATAGATCCCTTTTTCTAACATCTTTTGTGTCTGGTTTTCTTACTTCTGGTTTCTTTTTTATTATGACTGATGTAAAATTCACATAACCTAAAATTAA